GACATGCTCGATGTTTTGAGATTATTAGGGAGTCCATTCAGAATCATACAATCTGTGGGATCCGTCATCTTGCATCTCATGGTTTCTTATGTTACCATCATTCAATTCCGAGTTTAGTAAAATGGTAGCTAGTTATATAAATATTTTTAATAAATTTGTTTATCAACTTTTATAGATAGTTATATAAAAAAGCCTTTAAAATCATCAAATCATAAATCGGACACAGCGGGCAAAATAGACTGCATCCTCTTAAAAGTTTTTCTTTGTTTGGACAATGCCACACTCTACTCAGTTACTCACTCACAATCTCTCTGACCACTTTCGTACTCCCCACCGCCCCCTCAGATTTGTCTGGTCACTTCCCCACCGCCCATCACAATTCTCCCCCGTTCCCCATCCTACCATGGTCGTCAGCTTCCTCTCTCCACCGCCGGCTCTCCCAGGTCAGGCCGCCACTCCCCTTCGTCCCCACTGCCGGCGCGAGGTCCGCAGCCCCTGCTCTTCCTCCTCTTCATGTTGAATCTGGTCGCGAAAGTGGCCGAGGAGGCCCTCGAGCTCGGCATGCTCGCGCGAGCAATCCAACGGTAGGCGCCGTCAGAGGCGGACGCGGATGCACGGGACTCGCACGCCCCTGCTCTACCCTGCTCCCTCTTCGAGTCTGGTCGCCGAAGTGCTCGAGGAGGCGCTAGAGCTCGGCATGCTCGCCGGCGAAGCCGGCCCCTTCTCTCCTCCTGATGCGAGGGAGGTCCCCCATCGCCCCCACGGACAAGGCGCGGATGGAGGCGTACCAGAAAGTGCAGGAGTTCGACTTGTCCAGCGGCGCTGATTGGAAGACGACCGCCAAGCACAAAGGAGAGTTTGGGTGAGCATTAAGCAGTTAACTAATTTCTAGGGGTCATGAGCCCCGACAGTCGTTGTTCGAGGAAAGCTGAAGCGAATAGCACATCTCGTTGCAAATTTATCACCATACACCAGTATGATTGATATATGATATGGGATGGGATAGGAATAGACACTGCTTGAATGTTAAAATTTATATGTAATTCTTTTTCTGTCACCGATGTTTCACTGGTATAATCTATCAGTTGAGTTTGACATAGAACCCTGTTCGTGGAGCACACGGATCATGGAAAAATTATGGTGCGTTTTGTTCTATTTTATTTGCCTAAGAACCATACCCTTCTGCCAGGAATTACCCACTAATTCTGTGAGAATCCTACTCCACTAATTCCAAGCCATGAGAGGATTTTCCTTTCTCATATTGAGATAGCAATAGCAGTTGACTTAAATCTTAGATATGAGACTCTTATTTTGTTCACGTTCAACAAATCATGTCTGGACTGAAGCTAGGAAAGTTCCCTGTGTGTTCTAATAATAAGGTCATGGGAATACAAATGGCATATTTTGTCAGGATGAGAAGGCGAGTCTAAGATCAATATCTGCTTGGGGGCCATGGCGTGTTCTGTGCGGCATTGCCCTCGCCGCCGCCGCCGCCCGGGGCGCCGTGTCTCATGCGTCGCTACCTGACGTCCACTCTAGGAGCTGGGCTTGGCTGCCAATGGGGCCAAGAAGGTCCCATATCGGAGGTCCCTGCTTGCGAACTCGTAGTTAGTTTGCATGATACAGTTAGTAGAAGTTGTTCCTTAAGTAGAGTGTGATTAATCACGTATGGCCATTAATACAATCAGATCGTTGGGGCATGCATAAATATACTTGAATTTTAAATTAGCATGTCAAGAGGTTTAGTTAGTGTCGCTCCCTACTGTAATTATAGCTGGATATGTCGTTCCTGTACTTAAAACTTATCAATCAGATGTACAGAAATTTGGTAGATAAGCTGACGTTTGAAGGGGCAGTAAACATTAAACATTTCAGATGGTGATTGGGAATATCTGATATGTCCTGATTGTGTGTTTCCTGTTGTAGATAAATCTGCTTGCAAGGCTCTCGATGATGTATTCACTTTCAACAATTGCACCAGGGTGTGGTCAGTTGGAGAAGACATTACTATGATTGTTTTTTCAGGTGATAAATTGTAACCTTATATCCTTTATTACTTGAAATCCAAAATCATTGGAAACAGTCCGTAATTACTTTGGAGAGAATCCTTTATTATTTTCTGTCTTGTTCATGTTCAGCATAGGATGTATATCATTAAAACCATCATGGTATATTATTGTTCATGTTCAGCATAGGATGTGCTTTGTCATATGTTAGACAATTGCTGCCTATATGTTATTAGTATATAGACTGGAAATATTTTTCTAGATTGAAACTGCACGTCTAGATCGAAAATAAGCTATTTATGGTATGGTTACCCAAGTATAACAGCTACAGTATGTCAGTACTGAATCTCGTCCTGAGATCAATCAGCAAAAGTTCGTAATTGCTGATATATTAGACGGACTGCTATTTCATAGAACTGAAAAGAATACGTGTCCACTGTTCTCCCAAAGTTTCTCTTTGGCCAATATAAATTGATATGTCTAAAGTTCCAAGTGAGATATGAAATAAATGCACATGAACAAATCTAGGGGTGTAGTGTTCTTATGGTATTTTTAGCTGGGGGTGCTTTTTTTCATGGCTAGGTATAAACTGAAATTTGTGCACTTAAAATCCAGAATCTGCTCATTCTATTCAAAACATAGTCTATTTGAACATTGATTTAGATAGAGGCATGAAGCGCACCATTTAGATAGAGAATGCGTAAATGAGGGCTAAATACATATATGTCAAGTTGAAAAATCCGAAACCAAATTAAAACTGTAGCACAACCAACTAAAAGAAAGCTCCCTGGAGTCAGGCTCGAGCTCAATCCATGAGGCATGCTAGAATATGAACACAAAGAGCACTACTATATATATCAGCTCCATGAGCATTTGTTGTAAAAAAACGCATAAGAAGCCTACTTCGAAAGCTAGCAAGACCAGCATTATAAGAATCAAATTAATATAGTAATCAGAATTAATTATATAAGAATAGTCTAATATGTTGTCCAAAATCATAGGATATAAGAGTTCACCGTTGTGTTCATCACTTTCATAGTTTCTACTTCTCACCATATCATCATTCAATTCTGAGTCCACTAAAATGGTAGATAATTTTGTTGTAAAGTGTGTCCTATGCTCCTACCAAATACATAGTAGTAATCAGAATTACCCAAAATATAGTAATCGGAATTAATTATAAAAGAATAGTCTAATATGCTTTTGCCAAGTATTAATTAGAATTAGTCCACAAAGAACAATGGTGGGGATTCCAAGTGAAATATACATGCTCCAAATAGTCAAATGAAACATTCCTATCCAGAAGTTTAACATCCATAAACACCAATATAATCCACCTACGTGATTACAAATTGATTAGACATTTTAATTTGATGGAAAGAAAGATAAATAAACATGAATAATTAAATAGCTTTATGGTGTTTCAGCTGAAACACAAACATGGTGAGCAGCCTGACCGAAACTAACACACTCACTATAGAACCGCCCAATCCCATTCACGTCCCCTCCATCGCTAGCGAGCTTGCTGCCACAATCATCACTGTCCCCGCCAGCAAATTGCTGAAGATACGAGATTTACTGGAAAATTTGTGATTTCTCACTGAATGATAAATCAAGTTCTATTTCCACTGCTTCTATAGATCAGAACAAAGACAGATATTGAATACTCATGCTTCTGGGCATTCTATTGAATCTCAATTGTCAATAACTAATCTTTAGAAGGCAAAATATATAGAGAAAGAAAATTGTGGGGTCTTGAGCTAGATCCATGGATATTCTCACTGGCCGCCGCAACTTTCTCTTGCTAGCGGGATATGTTTTGCTTCTTTAGATACTCTGCTTTCTTCTTATCAAATGGTCATGGCATATCAGTATCTACTCTGTAACTATTCGTCAGATTGCGTTTCTCCGAACTGATGGTTAGTAATTAACTAATTACTCCATTATCGGCTCCAGATTTTAGCCTAACAATGGAGGCAATGAAGTTAGTTATGAGTATTAGATGTTTGGGACAAATAGCTGCAATACAAGGTTAGTCCCTGCGAATTGACTGACCTTTTGCCGTGTGTTTACATTTGCATATATGTTGCACATGGTAAAATATCGACCAAATAATATTATGAGATGACATGGTTAGATTAAAGAAAAACTATATAAGGTAAGATGAAGTACATGCATTAACCTATTGCCGTTGTGTTTGTTGCATATTTAAAAGGGACACGTGTTAGCATAATCGACCCAGAGATGAGAGGATGATTTCGCCACAGTTTTCTTAGCCTAGTGGGATTTAAATTCTTTTTCAAGGTATTCTCTCTACTTCAAGGTATTATTTTTCAAGGTATTCTCACAGCCCACCAAAATGAATAAAATCCAGTATAATAAAGATGCTACAATAGTTTTCCGGACTCAATAATATGGAGATGTTACTAACAAACTACAAACTTATCACCCCATAGTAATTTAACTACAACCCTATACATACTACAAACTTCGTTCAAAATACATACAGCCGACTGACAACCATCCAATACTCCTAGTCTTATACATACTGCACACACTCGTAAACAAAACCCTCATTAAAACAATACATCAAGCAGCAATATATTTTGGTCCAGTGATGGTGAAGACTGAACACCCCCATCCTGAAGGAAGTGACCGAGCTAAGTAGAGTTTATAGTTTTCAATTTAAGTTTGTGCATAGACCAGCTAATGTTGCTGCTGACCTGCATGCAAAAAATGCTTTGCCTCAGCGGCAAAGGTGTGCCAGAATAAATAATGAATCCTAGCTTCGTTTTCAGCCTTCAGTATGACTATAACTATGTACTTATTCAGTAATGAGAAGCTCCTGATTCGGAAAAAGGTGCACGTGCATGAAACAAGGATGTAGCAAAACAAACATATAAATACTGTCAAATTCTTCAAACAGAATAAAAATAAATAGATGGAGCAGCACATCTCTGTTTCTGAGAAGTACACGAGCTGCAAATTTCATATTCAGGAAAGAAGTAAGATTCTGTGAATTTGATGAGGCAACACTAACCTCATCAAAGCTTTCCCCATCATGAATGGCCTGTTAGTGTCTCTCTTCCCTGAACGGTTTAAAGAGTTGTTCTTGTATATGATTGCTAAGCACGGCCCTTGGCAGATCTTTAGCCCCAAGAACAACACTTTAGGGCAAGTACATTTTGCTTCTTTAGAATCACCCCTTTTGAAATTAAAAAGGGCACAAATTTGATGCTTCCAGCGTTCACATTTGTCACACATAACCCACCTTAGAGCCAATCAATTAGAACAAATTAGCATGAACAAAAAGAGTTTAAAGAATTCAAGTATGAAGGTTAGCCTTAGGAAATTGATTACCTTTCCACCTGAATCGTGCAACTGCGAGCCTCATTCTAACACAGGATACAGAAATTGTGGCAAATCTCAGTAGCAGCAGCAGTATAGTATGATGCACTTCGTTTTGTCCGAGCAACACAGGGAGAACAATAAATTGGTGGAGGCTCAAAATAAAGATTATCTACTTTGCAAACGAAACTTCTTGATAGAACATGTTGCCTTATGCCTCTTTCCATATCCTCAATGACTGAATAATCATAATTTCCTCAATCCACATAATTGAATGTTATGTGTCACTGGACTCACACCCTGGCCAACACAGCAACAACATCATCAGGTCATTTGCAGCAAGAAACACGTCGGTATACAACAAACCATAGCAGCATATTACAAGATACAAGCGCAAAGCAGCAGCAGGACATCAGCGACAAGCACCCAGCGACATCAAGCACCCACACAACACACACACCCACACGCAGCAAGCAGGGCGGGAGGACCGGAGAACATATACCTTGCCGGCGACGGGATTCCTGGCGGCGGCAGCGGAGTTGATTCGCGGCGGCGATGGAGGTGACTCGAGACGGCGGCCAGGGCGACTCCACACGGCGTCTAGCGAACCCAGGCGGCAGCGGCACTTCTTGGCGCAGCACGGTGATCGTTTACAGCGGATGTATAAGAAGTACTTGGCGATCTTCTCCGTAGTGAGTCCGATGCCAACCCCTGCACGTTCATGAGGAGATAAGAGCGGTGGAGGGCAGGGTGGCCAGAAGGGAGGAGACCTGCGGCGAAGGGCGGCTGCGGCGGCGGCGACCTGCGGCGAAGGGTGGCCCCGGGCGGCGGCTGGAGGACCTGCGGGGCGCGGCTCGGGTGGCTCCGGGGCGGCGGCTCGGCGACCTGCGGGCCGCGGCGAATGGCGGCTGGGGGACCTGCGGGGCGCGGCCCGGGCGGCTCCGGCGGCGGCTCGACGACCTGCTCCCGGCTGCGGGACGAACGACGCGGTGGCGCGAGGTCGTGCGGGAGGAACCGCGCGGGGCGCGAGGTCGTGCGGGAGGAACCGCGCGGGGCGCGAGGTCTTGCGGGAGGAACCGATTGCGTGGCTTGGTGGGTTAAACACGGAACGATTACAGACCATCGGATATTGTCTATGGACGCGCCTGATTGTTTGGATCTGCCCCTCTCTTCCTTTTATAGTGGTAGTAGATTAGTTTTTCTTTTTATTCCAATTTCCTTTTTTATTTAGCAACAAACAAACATTTTCCGAGATTTCTAATATTTTTTTCAAAAAACACTAATAATTATTATAAGTGCACAAAACACTTAGTAAAAATTGCATTAATATTGTTTAAACTATGTGAATATTCTTGAAAATCACTTGAACATTACCTAAAAGTTCTGAACAATATATAATCAGCACTAACTTTTCTTAAATGCATGTAAACATTTTTCAATACATAACCGGTATTTTCAATTACACGATGAACATTTTAGAAGACATGATGAACATTTTATTATTATGGAATACTTTTTAATGCACGAGGAATGTTTTTAACACGTGATAATTTTTCTTCAATTACACTATGAATTATTTTTTAAATACACGATGGAAAGTTTTTTAATACACGATAACTAATCTTCAATACATGTTGAGCCTTTTTTGAAAATAAAGTATGCACATTTTTAGTTACACCATGAACATTCTTAAAATACACTATGAACATTTTCTAAATCGCGATGAACAGTTTTTGATATGTGAAAAATATGTTTTTTAATATACGAAGAAAAAATTAACATGATGTACAATTTTTATTACACTAAGAATATCTTATATACATGTTAAACATTTGAAAGTACACGACAAACAATTATTTTAATATGTGAGAATATATTTCAATGCATGATGACCAGTTTTTGGGAAATACACAATGAACATTTTGAATTTACAAAGATCACTTTTTCAATACACTATGAACATTTTAGATATATGCTTCATAGTACTAGTATCTTTTTTTTAGACAATCTCGCATGCTTTATTCATCGCCCATAATGTTTACAAGAAGAAAATCAAGGTCTTCTGGTTGTCCTAGCCATACATGACGACCAAAGTCTAAAGATAAAGCATATCTAGCGAGATTGTGAGCCTCGAAATTCGAGCTCCTAAGCTCATGAACTACTTTACATGAAGAGAAAACGTTTGCACGAAGTATTATTTCATGCACTATAGCTCCATAGCCAGCCGCCGAGTTCTTCTGGACATCTTCAACCACCCTCTTGCAATCTGTAGCGATTTGAATGGAGTTCTCATATAGATCCTCAGCCAGAGATTGGCCTTCCCTTACTGCTATTGCCTCTAGTGTGCTCACATCCGTGATGAACTCTAGTTTTAAGATCGAAGCACCCAAGAGACTTCCCCTGTGGTCTCGGCACACTGCTCCCACGGCACCAAACTCCCCTTGCATGGACACTGCCGCATCCACATTCATCTTTGCATGACCCTCTGGCGGAGGCATCCATGTGTGTTGCCCCAAGCTAGCTCGCTTCGTAACACTGCCAGCTCCTCTATCGATCATCTCCAAGTCCCTCAAAAAGGAGAGTATGAAAGAGTTAGTAGTAAATGGACTATCAAAGATCTCTTCATGTATAGCTCTCCTTCTTGCTTCATGTATAGCTCTCCTTCTTGCTCGCCAGACTGCCCAAAGTGTCACCACCATCCGTATGAATTCCCCTTGCGGCAATGATTCATGCAATGTGAAAATCCAGTTTTTTGCGTCCAAAGAAAGATTACCCAGCATATGGTCCCACTGTCTCCTTCGAACAAAGTTACCATACGCTCCTGGCCATCACGCAATCTACTAGTGCATGCTTCCAGTCATCTTGCGCAGAACAAAAAGCGCACGCACTCATAGTAGACATATTCCGGTGGTGTAGCACCCTGGCTGTTGGAATTGTTTCATGGCATAGTCTCCATAAGAATACCTTGATTTTAGATGGAACCTTAATGTGCCACGGGGACGTCCAAGCTGCTTCTTCTTCTGCCTCGTTTGAGTGTCCTCCGACCGGTTGCAGTAATGCTTCACCTTGCAGTTTCATTTTCACCAAAAATTTGTAGACTGACCTTACTGAAAACACGCCTCGTTCGTCCTCTCCCCAAGCCCAAAAATCATCGACTCTTCTAGTACACAGCGGGATTTTGAGTATCACATTTGCATCAAATGGCAGAAAAGTCGCACGAACCTTGTCCTCCTTCCAATTAGCCGAGCTTGGGTCAACACGTGCTGGTCTATGCACCGCCAAACACGCTATTGGTCTCATTAGGCCCGATCGGGGGAGCCAGTTTTGGTCCCAGATTCGGGTCTCCTCTCCTGTTCCGATCCTCCGAATCAAACCTTGCACTAGAGCTCCTCTCCCTTCTATGATAGATCTCCATATTTGCGAGGGCCTGCTGCCTAGCTCGGCCTCAAGAAAGGACGAGGCAGGGTAATACTTGGCTTGCAAAATCCTGGCACTTAATGTAGAGGGAGTGTGTATAATCCGCCAAGCTTGTCTAGCCAGTAAAGAGATGTTAAAGAGGTCAATATCTCGAAAGCCAAGTCCTCCCAAATACTCCGGTTTAGTGCATACATCCCAAGATATCCAGCATGGTTTCCTCTTCCCTCTTTTACTTCCCCACCAGAATTGCCTGATCAGCGATGTGATACTTTCACAAATACCTCTAGGGAGCCTGAAACATGACATAGAATATACGGGTATAGCCTGAGCCACTGCCTTGATTAACACCTCCTTCCCCTCATATGACAAAAGTTTATCCATCCATCCTTTAATTTTCTCCCACACCCTGTCCTTTAGATACTTGAAAGTACCATTCTTTGCCTGCCCAACATCCGTTGGCATCCCTAAATACCGATCAGTAAGTTGCTCGTCATAAACCTGCACCAAGCTAGCACCTTAGTCATTTTACGATGGTTGCTAAAACAAGTCATTTTAAGATGCACGGAACGCTTCTATTTGTCCGCCATGCCTTTTTGCAAAACAGCCCCTGCAGTTTATTGAAATCAACCCGCAGTCTACCTTTAGGTCGGGACGAATCGTTTTTCCACTTTACATAAAACAACCTGACTTTTATACTAATTGACCCACAATTCAACTTTAAGTCATAGCGAATCGTTTTGAATTTTTACATAAAACCCTCTAGTATTTGCGTTAATAAACCCACAGTCCATCTGAAATAAATATTTTTCAAAATAATCATATCTTTAAAACCTAACTCCAATTTCAACATGTTATATATGAAACTTAATTAGAAAAAATATGTAGAATCTGAATATGATGTTATTTTTATCTATTAACTATTAAAAATGATATTTAGGGTGCAACCTACATACATGTCCAATGATCGAAGACCCTACGCACGTTTTTTGGCTAAATTCACGTGCGTATTTACCAACGGAGTACATAATTCTTTCTTATAGTGAATATACAAATAATGTTTATAGCATATACATACACTTATAAAATTCATGAAGATCAGAAGTACATGAAGATTTATTTTGAAAATATCCAAACAATTCTTCTGATAGCCATGAATAATATTGGAATCGATACATAGGATCTTAATTTGTATTTTATCCGTTGTATGTGACAGTGACACATATAGAGTTTCTTAAATAGACTTAATTTATAGACGCGGCCTCCTCAGTGTCGAACGGCATCGTCCGGTTGCTATCTGAGTCTGGTCGTAGCTGCACGCCATCAATATTATGGATCAGAACCAAAATTGAATTGAAATAAGAACAGTGGCTCGGATAAAAAATATTTACTCTCCCATTGCAACGCACGGACATGTTGCTTTTTTTGAGTAACACTGGCATGTTCCTTTTTTTAGACAACCTCACCAAGCATTATTCAGTCATCAAAAGGTTTACAAGTAG